CTGTCCCAACCATATTCAAACCTAAGAACACTGTGTCACAGTATCCTCTGCCAGGCACGGTGGCTCCATCATACTCCGGGGCTGTTTCACTGCCAGTTCTACTAGTGCTGCCAGTACATGTGGTACTAACTAATAATCAGAATTTCTGAATTATCTTTCTTCTTTTGCAAACACAAATACTTAACAACAATATTTAAAGCATGAAGAAATTATGCACAATATGGTAAAAAATGAAGACACCCTTCAATGCTAAAGCACATTTTAGCCTTTGTAGGTTGCTGCACCCACAATTTCTACCTTGATATTCCTTTCAACAGTGGTCACCCTGAGTCCCATGTATCCTCCAGTGACTCCAAAGTCCTGAACCTTTGAAGATCATGACATTTCTCTCATTGCACTTGCCCCAGTTTAAAGGCAGGTCCTGGTCTTTTAGGCCAAAGACCAGCAGCATCTTCACCCAGTGAAGGTGAAGTGTATATCATCAGTGTTGGGTAAGTTACTTTAAAATAGTAACTTAGTTACATTACTAGTTACTTCTCTCAAAAGTAACTCAGTTACTTCAAGTTACTCGTTACTTTCAAAGTAACTAGTTACTAGGGAAAGTAACTTTGGTTTTACTCAGAATTCTCTTGTTAATGTGTTGCTTCCATAACTTTGCCAATCTTCTAGCTTGCTTACTTGCCACAAGTGCACTGTGCCACCTACCAATAGAAAGAAAAAGATAATGTGCATATTTCCACGAGAGAAATCACACGCCTGGACCGTCATTGACTGCTGCCATGATTCTAGCCTACGTCACAGCGTCATCTGCGCCTTTTACATCCAACACAAAAACTGCAGTCGTGGTGCTTTCGATTGTACTCAGAAGTCGGAAATTCTGCCTTCCGAATAGGAAGATGTGGGCAACACCAGACTGCAGATGAGCTGCATACAGAGCTGGACTGGGACAAAAAAATCATCCCGGGCATTTTGACTAGAGACCGGCCCACCATTATAGGAAAAATCATAAAGCCTTTGAATGAAAATAAACACTGTTGTGACAGTGATGTACACTGTCTGATGGTATATATGCATCAATCTATCAATCGTTTGTTGTAAGATTCAGATAATTATTTTTTAAAAGCTAGACATTTTAAATGAGAATAAGAAAGAAAAGTATTTCTTTGTGCCCCCTTTCCCTGTTAATGCCCTACCTGCCCCCTGGCAACACTTTGCTAGACCCGCCCCTGCACAGTTACCAGCTGTCAGCTACTTAGAAAAGGATCCTGGGGTTATTTGTCTCTCAGAAACAGTTCATAACTTCCCTTCAACTCATTCATGTCACCTAAAAGGTAAACCTGTTTCTCCATCACCTGTTCAGCTCTGATGATCCAGTAAGGACATCTCCTGGTTTCATCTTCATGTTTCCCTCTCACCACATAACCAAACCATATCATGACCAGCAGTTTTTTTACAGCTGTGGCTCCAGCAAACATCAGCTGATACTAGAAATTAATATTAAATAAATTCTAACAACAGCTGATCAAGCTTACACGTGCTGCTGTTGTTTAGCGCGACATCCGCTGGTTTCCTCTTTCGGCGCAAAGTGGGCGATAAACACACAAGAGAGAAAGACGATCAGCTGATCTCTGATCAGTTTTCATGATTGAAGTAGAAACGGGAGAGGGAGGTGAGAGAATGAGAGAAGAAGAGGCAGCTGTGCAACGTAAAGACACAGAGTAACTCCAGCTTTGTGCCTTTTTCATTGTAGCTGAATTACGGACAAACTGTTCCTTTTCACCTCAATAAGAAACGCGTAATATTTTCTCTGAATACCAGACGGGACGGTTGGCAACTCTAATAACTTATGAACAAAATAAAGTTAAACATCATTAACTTCATAGCACCACCCAGCTGTATAGAAACCCCGTCATGCTAGCTAGCACGCAGTACGGAAAAAGTCAGAATAACGAAAATAAACTCCACCTAAACTTGGTTCATATCTGACCCAGAGAGACTGCAGGTCATAACTTCTTACCTGAAGTTCAGTTCACACTTGGACCGGCGGCCGCCTCGGGTCTCTTTTCCTTCTGCGTCCCTTTTCCTTCATCCACCTGCTGGCCTCCACCACTTGCTAATGTTACTGAATCTGTGGAAGCTCCGCGATAGCCACCACACGAAGTAACGAGTAACGACCCTATCTAAATCCCAGTAACGAGTAACGCGTTCCTGATTTTGGCATAATAACTAGTTACCGTGCTCGTTACCACAATAATAACGTAGTTACTGTAACGCGTTACTTAATAACGCGTTAGTCCAACACTGTATATCATATATAGATATATTTAAATTCATTTAAAAGCCTAATATCCACCAAAAAATAAAAAATCTGAAGTGCCTATATCAGCAGTGATGCAGAGGTCTTGAAGGACACAAAGGGACACAGCAATTTTAAATAAGGTAACGTTATTCTCAGTGTGTGGTTTGCTGTTAGTGGCAAACGAGGCTGTAAGAGAGATTTCCCAATTTCCAGTCAAGGGGAGATGGGGTCTGGTACGTGCCAAGGTGTGTGACATGGAGGAACGGTAACACAGAGACACAGTACCTTCCCCTCTGAATCACCCTGAAAAATATCATGTCATTTACACCTGGTCAAATGCCTGCAAGGTCTACAAGCTTTTTGCAGACTTTTTTGGCAGGGTAGGCAAGAAGGGAAACAAACTGATCTCTCCATTCATCAAGAAAATGAAAGTCAACTTTGAAGGTCGGGTAGAAGTTTAAATGTTTATAAAAAAAAAAAAAAGAAAAGAAAGAGAGATTACATTTTTCAAGGGTAAAGATATTGCCGTTGTCATTGTTTTGTAACTGTTCTGAAGTAGCCATTGCATTATGGTTAAAGAAACACAGACTGTGTTATACAAGACTAAATTTGAAGATCTTTCATATGTCAGAAGATTTGGCAGAACAGATATGAGGAAACAAGGGTATAATGAGGTTTGTTGGACTTTGCTGATGTGATGGGTTTTGCAGGATAGCATTTCTCATGAGGCTTTGGGTGAACAGTACAGCGATGATATGTTTCAGCATACTTATATGACAAGAGGAAATCCTGCTCCCTATTCAGGGAAATGAGGGACAATATGGCCACTTTGGCCTCAAACTGCAAGAATTCCCGTTAATACTTATTAACTTACACGGTAAGTTATAAGTAGCGTGAAGAGCATATAATGGAGGTGGGTTGCAATGCGGATTGCAGGAACAGTGAGTGAATTCAATCTTGGAAGGACCTAGGTGGCCAGTGGCTTCAAACCCATTTGTTGTGAGGCAATGGTGCTAACCCCGATACCACTACAACTTTAGGAAGATGAACACAAAAAGTCAAATATATGCCCCATATATGTGTAGTGGGTAAACGTCCTTACTATCTTCTAGATAGAAATATCAAAGGAGTGGATATAAGAGACGAAAACATATGTTATGGGATTTAAACCCTAAACAACAAATAGAGGGTTTAATAAAAATGTTACATTATTTTTCTTTATGTGTGCACTGTAGTCACATCTTGATTGGTTGAGTTAAAACTCACGATACTAATGATTGGAAGCAAAATTACAAAACCTGCTATTGTCCAAGTACCTGAGTGTAAACTGCAGTGGGCATTATGTCATTAAAATATAGTACCTACTGTATGCTATTGGTATTTTTTCACGTTAATGTCTTGTGTTACTTTATTTAATTTGTTTTGGTTCTGCAACTTTGTCTATTCAGAAAATGATAATTGTCACAAAAGTGCTGTGTCAGTGCTGTATTAATTTACTTTACACTTTTCAGTGTAGTCATTGTTTCAGTGAACAATGACTGCCCTGTCATTGTTCTTGTGTGTGATGAAGTTGTTTTTGCAGAAGAATAACAGGAAACCCCTGCTCTTGAGGATTTAGAAAAAGATCAGATGAATTACAAGGAAAAACATTTATGCAGAGTTTTTTTTTAAAATTCCTAAAAACATACATGGGAGGTCAGTGCCAGTGAATTTTGTCTGCATAAAAAATATTTCACAAGTCAAAGTTGCAACATATTTTATGAGTTTCTTTATTAAGTTGACCAAAATATATGTATCAGTGACACAATCTCACACCAGTTTTTCTTTTTGTATAGAAACTTAGCCAAAAAAACAACCTAATATAAACAACATGAATTTATGCTTTTACATATTCACCGCACTTTATGATTGTAGAAAAATCATTACATTACAGGTACATTTCCAAAGTGCCATTCTTGTTTTAAAAAAAGTATATTTGGACATAACATGACAACAGTCACTCGACATGTAGTTTCCATTGCCTAAGAGCTCCCTTTTGGCCTGTGAAAATTACCATCATGCATTTTGTCACATGCACAAATTCATACTTGGTTTGACTGCACCAGCTGTGAATTGTGAATCCATCATGAAGTCTGAGAATGAACTTTTTCGTAAGTTATTCAATATTACGTTATCTTAAAAAATACCAGGGTTTAAGTGCCATTTGTACCATTAAAACTTAGGTGTAATAACAGAAAATCACTGTGGCATCACAATCTAGAAAAATGCTTGAAAATTACAATATATTAATCCCAGTCTTATAAATTTGAACATTTGAGCTAGATTTTTTTCTTAGCTTTTTCAATAATTGTCTTCTAGTTAAACAGGTTTTTATTTAGCGTGATGCCAGATTTGATGAACATATTACATATTGTTCTTCTACTCCTCACTAAAACATCATATATTCAATGCTCGGCCTGTTATTTGGTGTAAACATCTGGTATGAACTCTCTTGGCAATAACTACTTGAGAAGTCCTTTTGTTCTTTTAGTACTTAACCTATTACTTGACTCGTTTTAAGAAGTGCCGGTGCAGCCACCATCTGAATCAATACATTCTGTGTTTGTGTCAAACCTTTGCTTTAACCACCTCTTTTAAGGCAGTTGAGTGCATGACACATGGTTCAAAAACAAATCTCATTTCAGTCTTTGTTTAGCCAGTTTCCTTTTGATTGGCTGCCCTTTATAAACCAAAGGTTTAAACAGCATGTAGGTGGGGCTTCTGTGCTCACAGGCAAAGCTAAGTGCCTGAGACGATCATATAAGTGATATGGACTCTCTATAATGCCATGGAGAGCCATAGAAGACATAAAGCTGTCTGAAACAGAGTGTTTAGAGCAGTCTGAAGCCATCATCTACAAATTTGGCTGTTTAAAATGAGCACCCACTGTCGTGACAGTATTTAATGTATATATGACAGAAAATAAGGAAAAGCTTGTTTGCCCTTGAATGCTGGTCTCAAAAAAACATCCTCTCTGTGTTGAAGACCTTCAACTTGGTCATAAAGTTGAAGTAGATGAAGGCCAGCGAGACCAACAAGTTCTTCATCAGATAGAGGATGGGCGTAACAAAGCCGAAGAAGGCAATGAGGCCAACGCGCACAAAGAAGAAGGGTAAATCCTGCAGGGCTACTCCTAGGGAGGAAAGCAGGGGGCTGTGGGGCATGACCACCACACGCAAGCATGATAGGTAGCTGAAGATATAGATGGGAAACACCCAGCCTGAGTAGTAGACCAGAGGATGTCCTGCCACTCTCACCATCTCCACCGTATCCATCCAGAACATAAAGCTGTCCACAAACACGTCTGCACGGGCATCAGTGGCGCACAGGAATCTCAGAGGCCCAGTGTATGCATAGGGAGATATGTGGTACGGTGTGGTGCTTCCTGATGGTTCACTCAATCCAGACATGCCATATGGCCTCCCATTGTTACCTGGTATGCCCGGTAGCGTCCCATTGGTCTCTGGTCGAGCTCCTGCTCCGTTGTGGCTCCTGTCATTGAGCTGGTTTGCTCCTGGTTGCATAGGAGTGGGCACACCTTGCCTGTGCACAGCTGGCCCTGGCACAGCTGGAGTGATAGGTGTTACTGGTGCTACTTGTTCCACATGTGTGAGGACAGTGGAAGGGATGTCAGCATCTCTTTCGGTGTCATTAGCTGGAGAGAAGAAAAAGAAAACACAATATCTTGGATTATATTTACTTAAGCTGTTTATCATCAAGTGGTGTCGGCCCAGATTTACAAAGAGACAGCTGAAGGCTATCAGACAAATAATGTGGCTCACAGATATAAACATTAATCTGCTGTTTAGACAGAGGCAATAAATCAAGAGATCGCTCATTCAAACGATTTGGGCTTTGAAGAAATTCATATGAACTGTTTTATCATGTGGTTTTTAAGAAAATATATTTCCCTACTTCTGCCATGTCAGATTCAGAAAAATGTAAAAATATATCCTGCTCATTTCCTCATTTTGGATAAGTGAGAAATGAAGCAGTCCAAAGAAATATCCTGCTCATTTCTTCATTTTGCTCGAGTGATGTATAGAAATGTTCACAGTGTGTTTGCAGTTGCCTCCAAGCTCCTGCAATGCAAAACCCAGCATACTTTACTATACAAGTCTGCAGCAGAAAGTTCAGGATCTACAGCAGTCAAAGAGTGATTTGTGTAATGTGTTGAGAGAGCTGCGCTCACCCTGGCCGGTCAGCCTGCAGTGTCGTATCCTCTCCACAACGTCAATGCAGATGAGCGAGAAGAGGACTAGTGACACGGGGAGCTCAGTGAATGTATCGTGTTTCAGGTTGTTATTTATCTGAACCTGGATAAACAACCGTAAAATTGTTAGCCTGACAGAGTACTGTAATTATTTACTCACTTTTAATCTTTACAGAGCCCACTGGTTCACCTCAATGGTAATAAACATTTTGGGATTTGTCACTTGCAGCGAGGGCATTTGACACAGCCCTAAACAGACGAGTTGCTCATCTTAGCAGAATTTATGGTTCTTATGTTGAAGCCACTAGATAAGCAAAGGTCAAAAGGTTTGCTTAAGCTTTAAAGAATGCCACAAAAAAGGGCAAATAAGGTCTGGGCTGTAGCCAGTTAGGAAGTGAAAATGTGCCTCGTGGACATGATTTGACAAGGACAGCATGGACAGGAAGAGGAACCAAGCTGCTTATCAGTAGCTCCTTATCCATAAGGCTAGATAGTCCTCTCCTGAGATCCATAAGGATTCTCACAGCTCATCACATTTGTTTCAGTGATACTGTGAATCCTGTCATACACCATGTTCCCAAACACAATGTTGTAATAGATATATGTTTAAGTTAATAGCAACTTCTTTGGAGTATAAACACAATCACCCAACATGACTACAAAGGATCTACAATTACAGGTTGAGTCATGTTACAAGTATAGCAACATACAGGTCAAAGTTCATGATCAGAGCAGAGATAAACCTGATATGACAAATGAAAGCAGTGAGAAACAATCTGTTGGGTGTTGTACCTCAGAGCTGGCAATGAGAAAGGCAAAGCAGGGTAATGTGGATAGGATCACATAAACAAGGGTCACTGGCCTCCTGATATAAAGACAAAAAAAGGGCAAGAAAGAAAACAAGGGAGGAAGTTAAAGTCAGTGACAGGAATTGCTAAAGCCTGGTATTAACCAGCCAAGTTCTGTCCAAACCAGTCACAGGCCAGTTCAGCCTCAAACCAGCTGATCATGTCTCGGTCCCGTAGGACAGCACTGGGATCCCAGCTGCTGAGCATACACAACTCGGACCAGTTCTCAATCTTCATGTCTGAGAAACTCACCACTTCTTCCTCCCTATGAGAAATTTCTTCTTCATGAAGACCATATACTTCAGGGGTACCCAGACCAGCAGGGCAGTGGAGGTCACATAGGCAATAGAGGAGGCCACGATCAACCAGTAGGCAGTGCTGCCGTCTCCGGGGGGTTGTGCTGATGTTTTGACCTTTGCAACGATGACAGCAAACCTCTGCATGACGATGAAGAGTGGCACGCACAGGCCTGCAAACTGCAGCACCTCGCACAGGGCAAACTTCACCGTCCTCCCTGAGCCCATCCTGTGGCAGCTCACAAAAAGAAAAAGAAGGGAGGGAGACAGGGGCTGTTGTCGCAGTGAGGCGACCCCTGTCCCTCTGAGGGCTGGTCAGGCCTCGGACCTCTGCATTGTCTGCCTCCACTAGCATTTTCCACACACCACAGCCCTGGCTCTCTGCTCACCCAACTGCTTACACTGCACTAGGCATTGTGTGCCTTGGCGTGGCGGTGATGTGACCGGCCCTTTGCTCTCTTTTGATACAACGTACAAACAAAGTTCGTCTAACTTTACACCCTGAAGGACATGCATGTGACACAGCAATCGCTTTGGGGCAATCCGAGGTAAAAACAGCATCTCAGCCAGTGTTTTTCAGGCTTATCACATCACAGTCCACACAGCTTTAATGATGTGTACCTTGTATTCTTCCTGGGAATTCTCCAACTATAAGAAACACAAGTTAATTACTCCCACAGTATAATCAGCATCCCAGGACTACTGGCTGTAACCCAAGAAACAAGATACCACTAAAAACACATCGACTCCTCTCATGCTTATATATCACCATCTAGTGGCAAAGTGTTCTAACTGCAAAATTTTGGAATCCACACTGTTTTGTAACAATTGCAAATGCATTCGTGCTTTGAAATTGCTGTCAGTTCAACATGTTACTGTTCATCAAATTCAGGCGCTTGATTATGATTTGTTGCATCATAATAATAAGCGACATGAGACTTTTTTCCCCACCAAAGCCCAGCTAGAACTTTACCAGTCAAAAGCATTCATGAAGTAATTTTATCTGTCTTTGGTTCTAAAGCCATCAAGCCACAGTATCTGCTATGCCACAGACCAATATCGCTGCATAAAAGTGACGACGGAGTAAAAATGTTGCTGAATTGTTTAGACTTGTGTCTGCAAAACCCACACAGCTGGACATTGTGCCATTGCTGTCTTCAGACGTGTGAACACTTGATCAAGTAACTGGATCAGGATTAGATAATCTGGACTATATTCAGTGCTGTCTTCGGTTTGCACACATTTCTACGTGGTGTCATTAGAAGAGCTAATTTTAGATTCTGCATCGACGTGGTTTCTGAAGCAGTTCCTTCATGAGAGCACAACTCAGTCCAGTACAGGCTGATACCTGTATACTCCCAAGCAATTACAGTCCTGTGCAATACCAACGAAATTTGAAACGATTCAAAATGTTGTATCTTAATAATTTAAGTACTTCATCAAATTATTGATTATCAACAATAAATAAAGAAACTGTGAAAAGACTAGACTGAAAGTACAGACCCCAGAGCTCAAAGTCAGTAAAACTGTTTTTTATTTGCATTTGTATAGGATTTTCTTAAAATCCTGAAGATCAAGGCTCACATAGCAGATAGCAGATACAGTCGCTATCTAATCAGGGCTGGTTTTGGCAACTTGCCCCATTGGAGTATGTCAAAATGTGCTTGACATGTGGTGAAACTGTGGCCTGTCAGTCAAGGCCAAATGTATGATACTGCAAATTTTGGTATCCATACTTTGGTAATACCAAGTAAATACAAGGCCAGTGTTGCCGATACCAATAGTGTTACTGAGACTCATGTAGGGGTTATGTAGGGGTGAACAGTGTGTTATGATGACATGAATCATCATCAGTTTTTAACTTCTGATCACATTTTAATTACCACTAAATCACTTTGATTTATTACATCAATAATTAGTTAATAAAACTAATAAACTAATTTGAGGTATACTGAACACAATTCAATGGGATATATACGTAGAGCAAGGGGTGTGAAACATAAGGCCTGGGGGCCAGAATCAGCCAAGCAAGGCCTCCAATCCAGCCAATGGGAAGGCTTGGGGAAAAAGTAACCATCAGTTCATAAATTTCGGACTTATATTTTTCATAGGTTTTCCTATATTTTCACAGGTTTTACAGCTTTTTCTACTGATAAACACTTTGGCCATGGCCATTTACAACACATTTATAATTACATTATCTATGTCTGCAATTTTACACCTTTACTTCTTGCAGTTTAAGTCCAAACAATCATCCTGACAGATCTTTGTCATTTGCTACAACATTTCTTCATCGTGTAGAAAAACTGCTCTTCTTTGTCTTATGTGATGTTATCTAATTTATAAAAGTTATACCTAAACTTGTTCACGCTGAGCTGAAGATTGGGGTGAAAATAAGCCTGAATTTCTATAGTTGCACCAACTGAGCCGTGACAAGCCGGCTTTATTTCACTAGTCTTTGCCTCACCGGCAGGCCACGCACTTGTTTCACTAGTCCCGCGAGAGGGGGATCCATGGGCGGATAGCTAGATAGATGGATGGATGGATGGATGGATAACCCCGCTGCTCCCCTCCCTACTAGCCCCAGCTGTCAGCTCCCTTCCTGACTTCCCCACCCTGCCCCCGGTACCATGGCGTCCAGCGAGGAGGACGGCACGGTTGAGGAGAAGGAAAACAACAACAAAAAGAGAACGAAAAGCACCCTCGCTACCGCATGGCTCACTTTCTACAACATCGCCATGACCGCCGGGTACGTGCGTTATTCCGCCCCTGTCGCCTATTAATAAGAAAGGCAGTGAAGTTATAGCCGCTCCCTAAAAAACCGTAAGCGTGTGTTGCTGTTTATAGGACTGCGTCTCCGCCGAAAGTGCCTGTTCAGCTCGCTTGGATTTAGCAGTTCGTCGTCGCAATTGAGTTTGAGCAAGCTTTAGCGGTCAGTTTGGTAGTTTCTACGAAGAAACGAGCGACCGTTATTTGTCTCGAGTGTTGGAAAATGAATGAATGGTGTTTGGTGAAAGTGGCAGGCTGGCGCAACAGCCGTGTCCAAATAGGGCTGGCTGCATGGTGTCAGCGTCAAGGCCCACAGTGCGTCCGACAGTTGCAGTGATAAGTATAGCCGGACCGCGCTGACACTGGAGCTCAGGTCTGGGACAGTGAAGTGCTCAATGGGCACATTTTTAATAACAACAACGTTTGTGTGAAGAGAGCTTCCTGTGTTGTGATAAAGGACAAACACATGAGAACTTGAGAATAGCGGAGGTGTTGGGGTCACTGGATCAGTGGTGACTAAGCGCTTCCAGTTTGGCGCATGGCTTCAGGTACTGATCACTTTAATAATAATAATAATAATTATAACACGAAATAAAACAAGAATATATTTGTGCACATCGTTGTGACTCTGTCCAACTTAGTAACTTGTTTTTCACGTGTTAGTCAAAGATAAGTAAAATTGCAGCTGTCCAAATCTACTTGGCCCTATGTGGAAAACATTATATACACCCCTCCTCCCTCTATTATCCTCTTGATACATTATGAATTAACTGTGAATAACCCCATTTAAAAAAGAAAATCTGAGTTCAGTTTCACTACCCAAACCCAGGCCTGATTACTGCTAGATGTGTTGGATCAAGAAATCACTTAACTATAAGCTGTCTGACAAAGGGAAATAGGCTAAAAGATCTCAGATAGCAACGAGTAAAGCCACAATCTACAGAAACGACTGACAAACAAAGTAATTGACATCCATCAGTCTGGGATACAAAGTAATTTCTAAGGCCTTCGGCGTGAGAGCCATTATACGCAAATGGAGAAAACTTGAAACAGTTGCAAACCTTCCCAGTAGAGGTCGGCCTACCAACATTACTCTAAGAGCGCACAAGTGACTCATCCATTAGGTCACAAAAGAACCCAGAACATCTACAGAACTGCAGGCCTCACTTCAGTTAGGGTCAGAGTTCACGACTGAACAATAACAAAGAGGCTGGTCAAAAATGGCATCCATGGGAGAGTTCAAGGAGAAAACCACTGACGACAAAGAAAGGCTCATCTTGCCTAAAGTAACAGTGCTTTGCATAAAAAGAACATCATAGCAACAGGTGGTGGTAGTGTGATGGTCTGGTGCTGCTCTGTTGTTTCAGCACCAGGACGACTTGGTGTAATTGATGCTTTCTATTAGAAAATCCAGAATGAGAATCTCCAACCATTAGTTCATGGCTGGAAGCTCAAGCTCCCTCGGGTTATACAGCAGAAAAATGATCCTGGTTTTGGTGTGGTCTAGTCAAAGCCTGAACTGAAATCAGTTTGAGATAGTTTGGGATCATTATGATACACGGTTTAGGGTCCAGTTACTTTTTCACATAGGGCCGAGCAGATTTGGATAGCTTTCCCCCCTCGTAATAAATAAAATGTCATCATTTAAAAACTGTATTTTGCATCTTCTCTGTGTTTCCTTGTCTAATATTAAAATTTGTGACAAATATGCAAAAAATAGGAAATCGGGAAATGGGGTGAATTCTTTTTCACAGCACTGGTGTTGGTCTAGAACGTCACAGCTGGTGCGTCCTCAGTGAAAGGTGCATGACATCAGGGAAAGACGTGTACACACAAACATAGGTTTTCCTTATGAGGATATTTAGCGACAATATGCATTAAGAAAGCTTCACTTGCGCTCCGCTTATCAGTATGAGATCCTTTTTATAAATCAACTTAAATGGACTCACTGGTGGCTATAAACAGCTGAGTGAGGATGCTTCTTGGCTGCTCATCCTATCTACTGTGCAGGATTTTTTAAAGTTTTTTTATATAACATTGCAGCTGGATTTATTTTTTATAATATGTTGTTTTTTTTAACATGCACATGCAAGACTTGTGAGTTCTTAGAGGTTTTTTATTCATAACTATTATTAGAACATGTATTAATAGAGCTATTGTGTTCTACAGTTGTCTCATTCCTAAATTAACAAAAAACAAAGCTCATTAAAGTGTGTATCCTGTTTGTTTTTTGTTTTTGTTTTTTAAATGCCCTAACCCTTGACTGAATTCAAAGATTTAATCCAATTTTTTTTTTTAGATGTTTTTCTTTATTTCAAATTTTATTTGTCAGGGAAAATCTTCTACTCCCTCACATCAGAAAGGAGACAGTTGGGGTGGTTTGAGCATCTGGCTAGGATGCTTGCTGGTCCTGGTCGAGCTGTTGGGGTCTTGTCCAACTGGGAGGATGCCCTGGGGCA